GCCCTCCAGGAGCGTTCTCTGTCCGGGGTGTCCGTGCGGAACCCGTCCCGAGAGCGGCGGTGGCACCTTCAGGCTTTGCAGGACAGGTTTCCTCTCGCTGGAGGCGGGTCTGTCAGTGCTCTCAGGCGCTTTTTTCGGCTCAGAGGTGTCTGAACAGCCACAAACTCCACTGACAGCACCCTTCTGCTGAAAGTGTGTCGTTCTAGGGCAAATCTCCTTCTGGAAGGTATTTGGCTGGAGATGTAAATGCAATACAAAACTTTAACGATATGATGAAGCCTCAAATATATTTTTGAAGGTTCTAAAGTTGTTCAGATGAGTTCAAAATCACAGGTGAGCTGTGGGAGTTCAGGAGGGGTGGCAGGAATGGGGCATTCTGTGCAAGCCACTTAGAACTTTACTGGTGGCATTTGCTGGCTGGGCTTTGTTATCTCAGGGGTTGCCTCAGTGAAAGGGGGAAGGTCTCACCTTGATTCAGCACGGGGGCTGGGCCGAGAAACACTAGCCCACTCCTGTGACTGGCACCTGGGGTCTCAGAAAAGAGAACAACGCCTCAACTGAGCCCAGCACTACATCCTGAGGTGGCATTTTTAGATGCTACCCTAAGAACACGGAAATCTTGACAGCTCACACTGAATTCTGTTCCCCTGAGTGCTAGAGACAGTGAGAAAGCTGTTAGGTGTGTTTTCTCTATCTTAATTACTATCTGAAAAGCAAAGCATCAATTGCTTTCTTTCAGTTCATCTGAAAGAAAGAAATTGATGACTGAGGTCAAGGAGTGACACATTCCAATGCTGTGCTTCTGTGAGTTTAAACACGAGGTAAAAGGCATTTTTAAATTATTTGTACCAGTCTCCATAATTTGTAGACATGATAGACAAGGAACTGAAGTAAATTCTGAGAACATTTTCCAAAATCAAATATCTGAAAATCTGCATTAAAATACAAACAAATATTTTAAATGTACGTGGACTTTGTCAATGTTTTAAGAACTAGGTTTTCATCTCAGGATGTGCTGTCTGTTGTCATTAAGCTGCAGCTCTCACTGCTGAGAGGCAGAGCATTAAATTACAAGAGATACAAAGTTCTCCCTCTGGAAGGTGGCTGAGGAACATGTGGAATATTTTATAATGATGTGGCTGGGATTTCCCGGGGCGGCCTTACAGGGAACACAATGGTTGCACAAACCCATGCTGAGCTCGCTGCTGTGCTGGCAATTCTGGCCCATGTCTGACTTTAAGACATTGGTTTAGCTGGAATTCATTACAAGGGAGAATGAAGGGAGCTTTTTGTTAAGTGAAACTATATTTTGGCAAAAAGTGTGACTGAGTGTGAGCTCGGGAGTGCTGGGAAGGGGGAAGCTGAGTGAAGGAAGTGTTTGTGAGATGGATCTGCATAACAAATTGTATGTACAAAAAGTGGAGCACAATTTCAGCTCATTTTTCAACAGTTCAATTCCTAATGTACCTTTCTGTGGAATAACCTGGCTTTGTCCCAGGGCTCCCAGGAGGGAAGGCAGAGCTGCTCCACAGCTTGTCCGTGTGGTTTGTGGGTTCCTGGGGGCACCCTGGGCAGGTAGAATGGGCAGGTCACCGTGGGCAGGTAGAGGGGCAGGTCACTGTGGGCAGGTCACCCTGGGCAGGTCACCCTGGGCAGGCTGGCAGGACATCTGCACAGCAGTGCACAAATGATCTGCACAGCAGTGCACAAATGATCTGCACAGCAGTGCACAAATGATCTGCACAGCAGTGCACAAATGCCCGAGGTGGCACAAGGGCACAGCCCGGCTCTGCCGAGCCTGGGCCGGGCTGTCAGGGTGACACTGGTGCTCCAAGGCTCAGCACTGAGGTCTCTGGGCAGCAAAGGCCACTCCGGTCTGTCACAGTCCAGCCTTGCTCAGAGCTCAGGAACACCCGGCCCAGGAGTCAGGCTCGCCCAGAGCTCCCCTGCACACACCCACCCACCCTGCAGAGCCCTCACGGGGATCAGCTTTGCTTTGCTGCTTCACCCAGAGCTCCCCTGCTCACACCACCCACCCTGCAGAGCCCTCACGGTCCCCTCCTGTCCCCCCTGTCCCCCCTGTCCCCTTCTGTCCCCCCTGTCCCCAGCAGCTCTGTGCTCCAGACTCCTCCTGTCCTGCCTGTGCTCCCTCAGCCGGCCGGGCTGGAGACCATCTCTCCTGGCCCGGGTGGAATGGAGACCATCCCTGCTGGCCTGGCTGGGATGGAGACCGTCCCTCCTGGTCTGGATGGGATGGAGACCATCCCTCCTTGTCTGGATGGGATGGAGACCATCCCTCCTGGCCTGGCTGGGCTGGAGACTGTCCCTCCTGGCCCGGGTGGGATGGAGACCATCCCTACTGGCCCGGGTGGGATGGAGATCATCCATCCTGGCCTGGGTGGGATGGAGACCGTCCCTCCTGGCCTGGGTGGGCCTGGCTCTCGTTGATGTCCACAGCAGGTGAGAAGGGCAGGGACCCCCGTGGCTGCTGCTCTTGAGCTCCATCCAGCAGAGCTGACCTGGGGCTCTGTAAATCATCCGCGCTGTGGGCAGGCACAGCAAGAGCTCCTCACTGGGAGGGGCTGGGAGCGTCTCACCCCAGCATGGCAGCACCTGCTGAGCTGAGAAAGGTCTGCATTTTCTGGTCTGGGAAGCTGTGACACCTTTCTCTTTCCCACGGCAGTGGTGGAGGTGGGCAGGAAGGGAGGGGTCGTCTGTCACTCCAGCTCAGAGGAAAAGCCTGTTTAACACTCGGCGTGCCTGAGGAGGATCTGCTCTCCTCATTACTGGAGCAGATCCTCAGCCAGGGGAATCCCGTGTTTGATCTGCAATAACATGCTCCACCAGTGGTTCCTGTGCTCACAAGGAGATCTTTCATCCCCTGTCAGGAGACACAGGCACCTGCAAATCCACTCCAGGCGCTCCTGCTAAAGCACTTCTGCAGGTGCAGGCTGGATGTTTCCAACACTCATCTTCAACATCAGCTGGAGTGGATTTTTCATGGTTTGAATTGCAAAAGCAGCACTGAACCAGATTTTGGAGGTCTCTGTCTTGCTCTCTGGAGCTGTTTTGTGAGGGTGATTAATCAGGAATGTTCCTGTTTCTTGATGGCCACTATACATCATGGATTTACATCCACAGGATAAGGCAGCAAGCCTACAAATCTATAGCCCCCATAACCTAAAGGTCTAACGCAGTAATTAAAGGAAAATGTACTGCAGTTCATTACAAAACCCTGAACACCTCCCAGCCAGCTGAAAACAAACCAAAAGCTGATCTTCGCTGCACAAGTTTTTCTTGTCCTTGAATAACAGGCAAAGATGGTCCTGCACACTGGTCTCTAATTTAGTTTTTAAATTGTTGAAAAAACAAGCAGAAACCCCCAAGGAAAAAACTAACCAAGCCCACCCTCGCCCAAAGAAGGCATCACCAACAGATGCCTCTGGGTAAGGGGGATGAGGCATGGCTGCTTATTCCCGAGCTGTGCGTCAGAGTGTGTTTCCAAATTATGTTTTATTTCCTAGTGACAATTAAAGAAACCATTTCAAAGCAGAGTCCAGGTGTCAGCTGCAGCCTTTCCCCTGCCCTCTGCTAGGTGCTGCTCTCAGTTTGTCAGCAGCTCTGCTCAGCCAGGCAGCTGCATCATTTTCAGGTGCCAGGAGGGCGAGGCGCAGGCGCCTCCTGCCAGGCAAAGCCCTGGGAGTGTTTGAGGCAGGCACAGGGGCAGACCCTGGCTGGCTGAGGGCTCTGCTGCCTGTGAGTCCCTGCTTTGGGGCTTGCGATTGAAAACCAGCAACAGCAGGGTGTGAGGAGCCTCATGAATGTGGCAATTACTACGTGAGCCTGTCAAGGTCAAGACTAGAAAATGAGAGTTCTTCAGGGCTGGACTG